CTAATACCATGATTGTCTGTGATGTTTGATACATACACTGTATTGTTTTTTTGTGTTTTTGTTGTGTTTATGTTTTGATTTGTAAAGTGCTTTGAGCTCTGGAAAAGTGCTATATTAATTAAACTTATTATTATTATTATTATTAGTATTATGCTTTTAGTTACTGTAACTACACTATACACTCAGAAATCTTGGAGCTCTGTCATATGGGCTACTTTCATGGTGCATTTTGTTATTTTGGAGCTTCCATCCCCACTCACTTTCACTTTTGTATGGAAAAAGGAGCAGCACGAACATTTGTTAAAATATTTTCTTTTGTGCATAGAAGAAAGTCACAAAGGTTTTGAATGATATGAAGGTAAGTAAATGGCAGAATTTTCATTTTTGGGTGAACTAATCAGGGGCATTTTATCCGAGGAAATGGATAAAAAAAAAATAGTAGTACAGAAATACAAACAAATGCTATTTTAATATTTCTTTGAGAGGAAAGAATGCCACCCATTTGAACATCTATCCAAAATTAAAAATGTATTATTATTATTATTATTATTATATGTAATATTATTATTATTACTGAGATGTCATCTGGATTTCATGTCATCAATGGTGGATGTCATCAGTCCAAAACTGATTATTGTGCATATCTCATTGGAATCCTGTTATATTTAGCAAGTGTGAATGGCAAAAAATCACATGAAATATAATTTTTTTTTAATTATGTGGTTTGGAATCCTATTCAAACCACATTTCTGGAAATCAATTTCAGTCTGACCGCTTTGATCTGATTTCGAGTACCTTTTTTTTTCACTTTCTCATTCCACGTAAAACATAAATACGTCGGACATTGATTGTAGAAAACATGCTGACTGTCTTGGCAGTAACAAGGTTGTGTTGTTGCAAAGTGCAAGTCGAGCAGAAAATTATAATACTGCTGGTCTACACACTGGACCCCTGCATTTCAGCCAGAGCCTGACAGGGCCCGATTTACACCCTCAAAGGCCGGGCAGCAGTATCAATGAACAAAAAACTTGTATATGCGCCTAACTGCGCACATTTATCAATGTCAAACATTTGAACTAACATTGTGATATGCTTGAAAGGTTTTATATCTATGGATTTTATTGTAGGCAAGTCACTGGACAACAAACTCTGTGAACTGCCGGCATGCATCTCATACCAACGAGAAACAAGGGACTGCTGCATTATTTGTCTCACAGAAACCTGGATGTCTGCAGTGGTTCCAGACTTAGCCATCGAGCTTACGGGGTTCTCTGTGCACCGCTAGGACCGAACGAAAGAGCTCACAGGGAAAAGCAGAGGTGGGGGCATTTGTTTCTTTACCAACAACTTGTGGTGTGATGAAAGGAACCTACACTCTATTAAATCCTTCTGCTCCCCTGATCTGGAATTTTATATGCTTCTGTGTCGACCATTCTCCTACCGAGGGAATTTACAGCGATCAAAATCACAGCTGTTTACATTCCCCCTCAAGCCAACACAGACCAGGCACTCAAGGACCTGTATGGGAATATAAGTGAGCAGGAAACCACGCACCCAGATGCAGCGTTTATTGTTACGGGGGACTTTAACAAAGCCAACTTCAGAAAAATAGCTTCAAAATGTTTTCAACACATCACCATCAACATGTGTGGTGATCGTGCACTGAACCACTGCTACTCTCCTTTCCGGGACGCCTACAAATCCCTCCCACGCCCACCTTTTGGCAAATCGGATCACTCCTCCTTTCTGCTCCTGTCTGCTTATAGGCAGAAACTGAAACGGGAAGCACCCGCTCTCTCCTTTCCGGGACGCCTACAAATCCCTCCCACGCCCACCTTTCGGCAAATCGGATCACTCCTCCTTTCTGCTCCTGTCTGCTTATAGGCAGAAACTGAAACGGGAAGCACCCGCCCTCAGGACAGTTCAATGCTGGTCGGACCAATCAAACGCTATACTACAGGACTGTTTTGATCACGTGGACTGGGACATGTTCCAGGCAGCATCTGATGACAATATAGAGGCGTACAGATACTGTAACGTGTTTCATCAGGAAGTGCGTAGAAGACGTAGTGCCGTCAAAATCAATCCGCATCTACCCCAACCAAAAACCATGGATTAATAGTGATGTACGAGCAGCCTTGTCAGCGCAGACATCTGCTTTTAAATCTGGAAATGCTGATGATCGCAAACAAGCCAGTTACGACCTCAGGAAATCCATCAAAGATAAAATCAAAGTTGAAGAACAATTCAACACCAACAACGCAAGAAGCATGTGGCAGGGCATCAATAACATCACAGATTTTAAAGGGAATAAACCAGCTACTGTGAACATTGCCACCTCTCTACCGGATGAGCTTAATAATTTTTATGCTCGTTTCGAGGCTCACAACACCGCCCACACAGAGAGCGCTCCCGCGGCTGCTGCAGAAGATGTAAGTGCACTCTCCGTCTCTGTCACGGATGTAACCCGATCCTTCCGACGGGTGAATATCCGCAAGGCTGCGGGTCCTGATGGCATCCCAGGCCGTGTGCTCCGAGCATGTGCATTACAACTAATGTTAAAAATCTAAACGGTTCATTATTAACTGGCTTATTAACTCTTAAACGCAAGGAGCATCACAAAATCTGCACCTGTGGCAAAAACAAGTGTTAAAGTGCGTCGAAATCTGAGAAACTTGTTTCTGCCGTGGCTCCACTAGCTTTACCTGTAGGGTGTGTAGGATATTCAGCAAAGTCCCAATGAAAGTAGGAAGCTGATTTCAGAAATGGAAGATAAAGCAAGTTTTGCCCACAGGCAGCTATTTCCAGTCATGCCAGTACAACTCCAATTAGCCCGAATGGGGAACAAACGAGACGTCCAAAAATGCCTGGTCAATCGGACGTTTCAATTGCACACGTCAAATAGCCAAGAATCGTTGAACATTCGTGGCATAAGCAGGTCCCACCGAGATTTGAACTCGGATCGCTGGATTCAGAGTGCTAACCATTACACCATGGAACTTTGATTACAGTGACACTTGCTCACATTGCCACAAAGACTAAATCACTTATAGGGTCACCAGCATTACCTCCAAGCTTGTGCTTTTTTTGCCGCAAGAAAGTATGTAGGTTCCACCAAGATTTGAACTCGGAGTGCTGGATTCAAAGTCCAGAGTGCTAACCATTACACCATGGAACCACCACTCCCTTGCTGGCAGCCATTTGAAAGGCAGATAGCGTTGTGGCTATGGGGAGCCAATTAGACAGCAGGGTTGGTTCACAGTGAATTTTGGTCACCGGCCCACCTCGACCAAAAGTCAAGGAGAGGGAGCATCTGCCAAAACCCAGGATCGAACCTGGGATCTTCAGATCATCAGTCTAACGCGCTCCCAACTGCGCCATTTCAGCCACAGTTCTAACCAGCAGGGATTTCCATGAGACCACCCGTCCCTTTGCGAGAAGAGCAGAGTTGACCTACCAGAGAACAAAAGAGGCTGGCACGTAGGGGGATGAACCTGTGACCTTGGCTTTATTAGCACCATGCTCTAACCAACTGAGCTAACCGGCCTGGCTCTGACTGGACTTCTTTCCAATTTTCTTTCTAATTATGACACTTAAAAGATAGATGAGCTTCAAGGGCAAGCCTTATCACAGGCTCGTCCAGGATTTTCACCCTGGACCTCTCGCACACAAAGCGAGAATCATACCCCTAGACCAACGAGTCAGCTCGCTCTGCCTTTGATCCGCTGCCTAGCCACGAGCATCACTGTTCAAATGGCTTTAAATGCAAGGAGCATCACGAAATCTGCACCT